AAAAGGGCTTTCATCTCTTGGAGTTCTTCTCGTACGCCTTCAGCGTCCTTAAGTCTTGTAGCCATTTGGTCTAGGTTTCGTCGGAGTAGATTATTCGTTGCATTAAGTTGGCTCCAGCTTTCTGCGAGCTCCTCGTACGTCGGAGGCCTTGGCGGGGCGTTACTAGGTTCTGGGTTTGGCATAGGCTCATGTAGCCCCATCGTTATATCTTGTTCGTTTTGCATTCTCAATTCTCTCTCGCTCCGTACGAGAGAAAAGAGTAAGAAGGGTTAAAGTGATCTTTTAGCTTATGTTATGGGCGGAGAGGCCTAGCGAACGAGTATGCTTCTACCTATCGTACAGAAGCTAAAAGATAAGAAAAAGAGAAGATAACTAAGTACAGACTTCTCTTATACCTGCTCGCTTCTGATCACGTGTCCGTACAGAAGGTATATCACGTGGTCGAAGATCACGTGATCCTCTTCAGTAGAGATCACGGGCGCAGCCCTTTACAGTTATAGTTAACTTAAATTATACTTTCTTACTAGTTACTTAACTTTATAAGATTAATACTTATTAATCTATTTAATATAGATTAGAAATTATTAAACCTATTATTATCTATCTTATAAGTACGCCACTCTACTATATCGCTAGACAACTATCTTACGGAGCTATTTACCTACCCTACTCGCTCTAACCTAGATTAAGTTTAGAGAAGTATAAGCACCCCACCCTATATAACACTTTAACTACCTATAGATTTAGTAGAAAAAAAAGATTAATAATAGGACGCCTAATTAAGACTTACGATACCTTCTACCTACTAGTTATAGAGAAGCACTAGTAGACCTATTTAAGGTCCTAAAGCTACAGCCAACCTAGTAATTAACGACAAGATGCTAATACTAAGTGACGACAAGAAGGAAATTAAGAACCCTAGATAAGTAGTTTATAGTCTTAAGTAACAGATAGTTAAAATATAAACTATAATTAACTAACTAGTAGGCTAGATAATAGCTACTCTAAATAAAAAACCTATAAGGAAACCTAAGATAGCAACTCTAGATAAATACGATAGAAGTCGCACTAAGCTACGGACGTTTCTTACTAATATTAACTTATACTATAGATATAACAACGTACCTAATAATAAGAAAAAGATTCTTATAGCTAATACCTATATAAAAGAGAAGGTAGCTAGCTAGATATAGCCTTATATAGAGGACTTCTTAGCTAATATACTAAATAAGGGTACTAAGAACGAGATACGTACCTTATTTAGCAGCTAGACTAACTTTAAAGAGAAACTAGAACGCATCTTTAGGGAAGTAGACGCCGAAAGCTAGATAGAGAAGGTAATCTCTCGCCTAAAGCAGACTAAGTTAGTATTAGCCTATATAGTAGAGTTTAAATAATACTAAGCACGAATTAACTAGGACGATTTAGCGCTTTAAATAACATACGAAGTAGATCTAAAAGAGAATCTTAAAGATAAACTTATATACTATAATAAGCCGAAGAACTTATACTTATTAATTAAGTTAGTAATAAGAATCGACACGCGATTATAGGAATGAAAGGAAGCCTAGAAGGAATATTAATTAGAGCCACCTCTTATTAATACCTAACAGCACTAGAATAATAAAGATTATAACGAAGATATATATATAACTAGTAAGATATAAGATAAGTCTAAAGATAGAAATAAGAAATTCTAAGGAAAGTTTAACAACGGCCTTTCTAAGGAAGAACGCTAGAAGCGTTATAATAGTAAAGCATATCTCTAATATAGAAAGTTAGAATACTTCCATAGAGACTATCTAGAAAATAAAGTTAAGTAAGGAGCAGTAAAAATTAGGATACTTCGGATAGCTATACTATACCTAACTAAGGAACTAGACGAAACTCTTAGCGATCTAGACCTATATAATAAAGTAAGATAAGCTAATAATAATACGTTTAAGCTAGTATAAGAGGTAATAAGACTCTAAGACTTTAAGTAGGACGACCTACTACTAATAGATTAGTAGGTTAAAGGGGCTAAAGTACTACACCGCCTAAGAAACTAATAGTGCTAAGTTTATAGAAACCCTATATACTAAGCTAATAATTATAACGTTAAGGGACGAGTTATAGTCTTAGAATCTTATATAGAGAAAATTACCTATAGATGTTACACGGGGTAAGGGTCTATACTTCTCTATCCTGGTCCGCACTAAGGCAGGTGAGTATTACGTTAGTGTTCCGTGAGGCTTGTCTGGCGATGCAGTGGAGTTGGCGTGCTTAAGGAGGGTTTGACAAGACTAATCTATTTGATAGACTAACTTGTGACAATCTTGTTAAGTAAAGATACTAGTAAGAAAGTACAATTTGAGTTGACCACAACGAATGTAATAATGAAATCCAACCCATTCTTATATCCGTTGCCTTTGGTCCTGCCATCCCTTACTTCCCTGCCATCCCTGG